CTTTAAAAAAAAAAACCGGGACCCCCATGGCCATCAAGCCGAAAAAAGGGCTTGCTGTCTCTCTCACAGTAGTGGCACACAAACTCAACTGCCGCCTCCTCGTTGCAGCATTACGAGAACCATGACAAGCCGGACCATAATGAACTCTTTCACCATGCTCACTCGTCACGACCGGTCCCCGGAAAAGCACATAGTGACATAGGGGTCTGGCATTGCCGGCATCGGATCCGTCTGCACGATCACATCCACTGCCAAGCCACGGTCATGTCCTGTAAGGTGAAGGTCTCGGGGTAGTGAGTATAGTGCGCCTTGCAGAAGCCGCAGGAGTAGTCGAGCAGCCTTGATCTTCACGACCATCCAAGCCATATCTGGCGACTTCCTCATGCACTGCCTGTTGGTGGCGACGGAGTCGATTGGGGAAGAAGACGGTTGCCTGCCAGATCGCCCCAAAGCAAGGACCTCCTACCCAAACTAGCACCGCGCAACAAAATTCCCAGAGCCTGACCACGACCTTGCCACTCATCACGACTCACGCCTAGGCCCTCTTCATCTGTGTAAGCCTTTCGACGATCACCGCCTAGACTATCCATGCTGCAAAACCCATAACGCCCATATGCACCCAACGAGGCTCCACCAGGTACACGACCATCCTGGACGGCTGCAACGTCACCCCCAGATACACCAGCACCTGCTGAAGCTTGACATGGACCACCCCCAGGTACACCGAGACCTGCTGAAGCTTGAAGTGGACCACCCCTGGTACACCAAGGCCTGCTGAAGCATGACATGGACCACTCCCAGCACTAAGACCTGCTGAAATAGACCACTGCTCCGCAGGTACACCAAGCCTGCTGAAGCTTGACATGGACCACTCCCAAGTAAACCAAGACCTGCTGAAGCTTGAAATAGACCACCGGTAGGTACACCAAGACCTGCTGAAACTTGATGAGGACCATCGTCTGGTGCACCGGCACCGTTCTGGCCTCGAATCGCACCCTCATGTGCTTGTGCCGAGTGCACTGCTTCCATCCTCAACCGCTCAACCTTTCGTTATCAACGAGGCATGATGAACCTGCCGTCGTACGCCTTCTTGCGCCAACTCCTTCGGGATGCTTCCCGAACTGTCGGCATCGGTTCCACCTCCCCCAGACGATGGGCTTCCATGCAGAGCTCGTCGAGCCCATCCATCCATAATCCTTCTCGCTCCTGTGCCGAACAGGGGCGGATCCTGCGTCTGTTCCGGCAGCGAACCACCATCTCGCTGCGGACGTCCTGGTCGAGGAAAACTTGGGGATGCGGGTTGCGACGTTGTATGTTGCACTCGTTCATGCTGCACCACCATTCCACATCTGGACTGCCAGACCCAGCCACCTGTTGACGAGCCAATGTAGTTGTTGGTTCCATCGCCACCCACCGGGCTTGCGACCGAATAAACCCTCCCAGCCTCGCCATCCATGCCGAGGGGTTTCCATCCGGTTGGGCTGGCCAAGCCTCTCCATAAAAGGCCCCAGGAAGTCCGGCAGTCGTCGGCGGTCGCTCTGCCACTGCTTCCGGCCTCGTGCTCACCACCAACGGAGAATAATGCAAAGGCAAAGACTCTATCTCAGCTGTCGGCGTCCCAAAAGGTTCCTTGTGAAGGATTCCGTTCGGAAGCTGAGGGGCCTCCACAGGGTCTTGCTGCTGGTTGGTGGTGGCATAGTCCGGGCCAGACGTCTCGCCCTCCAAACGCCCTGCAGGTTGCTGCGGTTGCACATGCGATGACTGGGCGCTCATAACTCATAACCTGTTGACTACTCGGACCAGGTAGTGAAGTTGCAGCAGGGTCCATGGGGCGACGACGTCTTAAAAACGTAGTTACGAAAGTTCAGAAGAAAAAGACTGATCAATGAGGGGTCCCGAGAGAGAGGCTAGCAAGCCTGAGCCTTATCTTCAATCCAAACCCAACCCTCAATGTCACGAAGGAAAAAAACAACCTGCCTACCAACGGTCCCACAGACCTCACTTCGGCACCGGCCACTGTATAAACTGTTTTCATGTCTTGAGCCATGATGTCCGATCACGCATGGCTTGGCTTCTGCCGATCAAGACAAACAAACGAACTGTCGGTGACTGCTTCTGTGCACAAGTCACTGGTGTGAGTTCCGACAGTTCACACACAAGCGCTTACACAAACTGCACATCAAGCATCGGCTCGGCATCACGAACATATTCGTAGGAGCAATATTTGTATGAATGTATGTCATTCGCACTGGTATAAGCATTTTGTATGTGTATTTGTATGAGCACAAATAGTACTAGATAAATAAGCCTATGATTATTAGTATTCGTAGGAACAATAGTACTCGTAGTAGTATTAGTATTACTATACATGTTAATGTTAGTACTAATATGAGTATTAATGTTAAAATCAATATTTGTTTTACTGATCCACCATTTTCTGGAGCCTAAATCCTAGAAGTCTTCCGCTGGGAGGCCTGTGACATGACATTCGGTTTTTAGGTTTCTTAGGTTTTTTAAGCTTTTTGGGTTCTCAGTCAAGGTTTTCGACAGTGCTCCCCAAAACCCCAAACCCTACCCCTCGCACCCCAAACGGAAGACAAACATTGCAACGCTGTTGTCGATGGCGCGTACCTGAAGCCAGAAAATGGTGGATTCATGGGGGGTGGGCACCATATATACATCTATGCGAGCCTGACTTCGTCTCTGCTGATGCGGCATTCTGACCCCACTGAGTGTCCTGGTATTTCAGCCCTGCAACACTCATGGCTTTATCCAAGCTCCCTGGAGATCTAGGGCTCTGCTCTACGGACTCTTGGTGAAACATAATCATTAGCGCTGTAATCCGACCGCTCCGCTACCAATTATTTGGAACGAATGTCGGCTTCCGAAATTACAGCACGGACAACGATAGCTTGTTTTGCTTGTAAGCCCAAGGCGCCTGCAGTATGTAACACTACATTCAGGCGCTCTAACATGCTAGTGCGACTACGACTCTATACATGGCACTGCACATGAGCTTCTCAAACGACGGAGGTCAACACGGCTTCTTCAACTACGGTACAAAAGACAAGGGAAATTTACAACTGTATACTCATATGCTGTTTTCCAGTATGCTGGTCACATCTTGCTTCATGGCATAGGATATGTCAATGCAGTGAGATAGGCTGACATGACGCAACATGGCTGGCAAAATGAGACAAGACTCCAAAACGAGAGCAGGCTTTAGTCGCTTCTCCAGGTCCTGCAAGTGACTTGACGGGTTCGAACTCAGCCGTTGCCGGTGCTAGGACGGGTCCTCGACTTTTGAAATTCCAGTAAGATGGAGAGGTCGCGGCTTGTTGCCATTGGCGACAACGAAGGACAAAGGTGGCTTCAGGCTAAGGCTGAACCTCGATGCCATCGACTGCACGGACTGGAAGGATTCAGATTAGAGTCTGCGACCGCTGGGCCACGCTTCGACCACTAGAAGTCTGGTCCCAACCTCACAACCCGCGACTGCCCGCTGAGCACCATGAGCTTTAAGGCACTGAGCTTCAGACACCGAAGAATGCCAACACTCAACCTGAGCAATCAAGCGACCGACACGGACGTATGAACGACAAGACACACAATGCCAACACACGAAAGATTCTCCCGACGATTGTATACAGATCGCGCATGCGAACACACAAATACAAACAGCTACACAAACAAACGAATAAACATCTTCACGTTGGCGCTTTGGGCTGCCTGTGCTACAGTTGGCATAGCAAGGCAATTACGTGACTGTGTCACCATAAGGTATCCAATATAGAAAACTAAGTAGAGGCCTACAAGTGCGAGGATTCGGCTCACACAATCTCCACCTCCCTGCGTTTGCAGTGCCATATGAATGCATCCTGAAGTCGCCAGGAAAAACAAACACTGGAATATTACAAAACAAAGAAACCAGCAAGCAACCAAACAAAACAAAAACCGCCCACACACACACACACAAAGAGCCTTATCAGAGCTTTGCAGCATCCATGTTCGTAGTCTTTGGAACAACATTTTTTGCAGAGCCTCTCTCTGATTCCGTTTTCCGGGCGTCGGAATTCCACAGGTGTGTGGGCGCTGTAATCCAGGGTAAGGCTTCGCAGAGTGGGCTAGCACCAAGCCCTTCCGACCCAAACCCTGCAGGCCAAGGTGCCTGCACACCTCGAGGCTACTCGACACGAGTTACCTTAGGTGCTTCTTGCGCAACATCCTTCCGTATCGGCCTCGAGTGAGTGGCAAGGACGGACTGGTGGGAGATCTGGGATGTCAGTTTGGGACTCATGTACCTTTGGTACTGCACAAAAGTCCCGTCCGGTATATACACTTAAGGATTGGAATGCTACAGCTGCCGCAGATCCCTCTTTTTCCAGTTGCTGACAAAAGCCAGCTCGGTGAATGCGAGGCCAGGACATCTTGCAGGTGACATGCCCGAAACGGCTCCGAAGCTAGCCAAGCCGAAGCCGAAAATCGTTTCTGCCAAGAAGCCCGCGCCTAGCCTTGGCAAAACTCTTGGCTGATGTAGAATGCTGAGAAAGGCCGCGATGTGTGTAAATTGCAGGCCGCCGCTTCAGCCACTCGTGTGCGATCCCACTGTCGTCCGACAAGCCCTGCGACACTCCGCTGGCATCGCATCTGTCTCAAGTGAGTCTGATTCTCCACGCAGCCTGGCATCCCGTCCCAGGCTGGCTGTCCTGCGTGTGAGTGACCCAAACGGCCATTGCTGAGGTGATCCTTTCTTCTGCGGCATCTGTTGGGGCCTTGGAATTAGGGCGTAGCAATGCGTAGCAGATCTCCGCCATGCTCGGTCCAGGCTCTGGTTCGGCTGCATCACGGTGCACACGCGGATTGTTTCGATTCTGCAAACCAGAGACCGCAAACACCTGCGCCCTGGTGGCTCTCATCGCACCGAGATGAAGAACTCATTCGCTCTGCGCTCTTTCATCCGAGAATTCTTCTTCTCAATCATTCTGTCCGGCGGCAGAAACCCACTCGCCTACCCTGGATCGATCATCACTCGCTTCACGATGCATGGGCTCAGTTTCTGCAACAGCGGCTTTCTGTGGACCCGAGACGCCACATGCTACCCGTACAGCTAGCGCGCCTCTGCGCTGTAGTGCTTTCCTGTTCCCTTGCATCCGAGAAATACGAGATCGCCTTCTCCCAGTAGTAGTTTCTCCTTCTGCGCTACCCCCCATTCATCGGGTGGAGGATTGGACTGGTTCCTGTTCTCTGGCCTCTTGGGCTACCCCTCCGGGTTCGGACATTTGCGTCCAGAGCATCTATCACCCGGATTTTTTGTGGGTTCGTCCAGCGGCTCATGACGATTGACTGGTTGATCGTTCCGGCCAATGCTCATGCTCCGAATGCCTCAGTTCCTTCAAAAACGAACCCAAACACGAAACATGCCTTATGCTTTGCTCATAGATTGCTTAAACGTGTTTCTACATTGGTGTCACACGTGTCTTGTATACATTACATAATGTATACTATAACTATGTAGACTATGTAATTACAAGATAAAAGTTGTTTCGTCACACTTGAACGGCTCCCGCACGGTGTAGCCCCGCGACAAGGCCGTTTAAACTTGTGGAGGATCTTTGCGGGCTCTCCTTCGCGTGTGCTTTAGCCTTGCGGCCGTGTCTGCCTTGTGGTTCGATACAGATTTATCCAATGTGCCACAGGAGGGTCACGCCCAACCTGGTTTTCGCAGCTTCCTCCGAAGCCTTTGTCACTGTCAACATGCAGCAATACTCGCGATGTTGTGTAGAAAAGGAATACAGCACAGATTGTCGGGAAGTTTAAGTTTCGATTCCAGCTGAGGCACCCCAAGCTCCGCCAAAGACTTCTGGCAGATTCCTGCCCAGAGTGTTGCACGATGACCCAAATCCAATCACACAGGAAGAATCTGAAACAAGAAAACGCTTTGGCCTCCAGAATTTGTGGCAAGCGGTGATTGACAGTCTCATCGTTTATGCCTAAAAGAACAGAAGCACGGGATACCAAGCTCCAGCTCCAAGGGGTGGGACTAAAAAAGCACGAAATATTTGCCGTCACGCCACAGTAGACGAGCCAGGGATCTCCACCGAAGAGCACTTTCTGCAGTTAAGCAAACACTGGTAGGACACTGCAAACAGAAAAGCAACACTGAGTAGGTCTTTCTCTGTAGCAGCAGCCCCGAGCCTTTAATTTTGCGGTGTCTTGCACGTCAAGCGTGACAACACCATTGCCTCGGAAGCAAATGCAGAAACCAATTCCATGCCACGGCAGTCTCTTCAGAAGCCGGATCGTGAGAGCAACCAGCGGCGAGTGTAAAGCGGACTATTTGCCTTATCCAAGCTGTACCTTTTGCATGCCCTCCGGTGGTTCCTGGAAGCCCTGTGTCTGCATTACTGCACCACGAGATGCTTCGAGTTAGTGCTGTGCCTTGCCTAGTGTCAGGGCCATCCCTTCCGACGTCACTGATCTGCACATCCAAGTCTAGTCCTGGACCACATCACTTGAGGTAGAACTGCCAGCACTGAGCCAACTCTCTCACTCTCGCACATAGCTGAACGGTAAGGTGCGATGATACAAGTGATCTGCACTGCCCTCGTTCAAACAAGGCCAGTGCCAATAATCATGTCGGAGATTGAGAACAGGAACGAAAAGAAGCCTCCGCGGTACGCTGACATTTGCATGCACAGCGCCACCAAGCTCTGAAACATCAACTTCACAGCGCAAGTCTGCAATTCACACAGGCCTATGCCACACATGAACAAGATGAAGAACCAGCCGGCAGCCTGCTGCTTCCAAGAGGCCTGGTGCACTAAGAGACCGCAGATGCAGCACCATGCAAAGAGCACGCAGCCTTCTCCTGGGGCTGCTTAGCTCGGTTCTTCATTGCTTTTCGGACTTCCCTGAAGGCACCAGCTATCGTCTGTCCATTCGGAGATCTGGCTTTCGGTCTCAGGTGTCAGCCGCTCTTGTTGGCGTTCCTTGTGACCTGGTCCTTTCCTGAGACTCTGGCGAGGGAAGTGCAAGTGCCGGTGACCCAGAAGCCCTGGGGCCACGGCCATTTTGCAGACTCTTCAATGAGCTGCCGCTGCCCCTTCTGAAAGAGGAAGCAAGCTCTGATGCCGCAGTGTTGAAGACTGCCTTCTGAATGCGCTCGTCATCCGGGTCCACATATCCAGCTTTCTGCAAGCCAGAGAGCCGCTGCTGCACACGTGACATGGTGCACATCTTCGACTCATTCGACTCGCACATCAAAACAGTCGGTCTGCACTTGAAGCACTGCTTCCCCAAACGATAACCCCCAGACAGATCGCAGCTGAGCTTTGAGAAACTCGGGAAAGTCTTTCTCAATCATGCTAAATTCTAGAAACACAGGTTTACCCCTAAGGTCTCCGGCCCAGGCGTCTTGGGGTTACCTCAAGTACCCTCCGCCTAGTCCTCCTTGGACCCACCCGCTTTTTGCGTCTATTTTCCACCCCCCCGCCCGGCTTCGCCTGATTTTGCCTCTCGTGTCGGCCTTTATCTACTGGACCCCCTCACTGTTTGCTGTTTTTTGGTGTTTGTTGGGGCTTCTCGACCCTCTCCCCCCCCACCCTCCCCCCCTCCCCCACACCCCCAGCCCTGGAATGCAACAAACCATACACACAGCTTAGAGATAGCATGAATGAAAGCTTCATCCGTGTGATGCGCCCATGTGACAGCAGCAGGAAGGGCCAATCCTTTTCACGCTACGCGGCCCTGTCCGCGGCATGATCATTCAAGGAATTTCGGGACAGCGACTTCAAGAGGCTGGAAGTGGAATGAAGCGTGCTTCAGATAAGTGCGTTGGAATAGTGACAATATCCCTGCACTGTGCACTGGTTGGACCCCTGCGTTTTTTGCGTCTATTTTCCACCCCCCCGCCCGGCTTCGC